ACTCTTTAATATTTGTTATCTACTCTGTTCTTGGTCTTCCCCTGTATCTTTTCCCTTCTATTTGACCCTCTAGTAGGACTTTACACCCACATCTCAAATGGTTCCAGTTTGTTAATCAATGCTTGTGTATTTTTGAATGTAAGTAATTTTACGGGACGTATCTTCTTCCGTACTGGTCTTCGTCTCGTTGGCTTCTGCTTCATGTGGGGTTCATCTGCTTCATCAGGAAATGTCCTATTATCGGTAACAGTCACATCAGTGGTAGTAACTTCATTAAGGGCTTCACTGTTTCCCTTCTCAAAACCGGTTTGAGTTTCTTCTTCGCCAGTGGCTTTTTCAGGTGACATGTCTTCAGCAGCGTCATTTGTTCCATTGTTCCCTTCATTCCAACTGAAATGTCCTGGACCATGATAATGCCAAAGCCTGTTGGCATGCACCACCTTTGGATTACCTCGCTGACCACATTTTATTCGGATAGTCACGTCTGAGAGACGATCCACTATGTCATATGGGCCTTCCCATGGAGAAGATAACTTAGAAGACTTCTCTTTGGTCTTCCTTGGATCATACAACCACACCTTGTCTCCTGGTACAAAGCTAACTTCAGTAGATCTCTTAGAACTTCGGTTGCCAGTGGATCTATTAACAAGACGCCCACATTACGAAGAGTTGCTTGAAAATGTGTCACAGTTCGTGAAAGTGTTATCTGACAGGATGGATGATATTCACCATCAAGTGCATTCAAACTTGGAAATGTTCCATGAAGCTATGTTATCATTTGATGGCCTATAGAACAGCAGAGCATGAAGCCACTGGATACACTCCAGCAAAGCTGATGTTTGGTCGCAGTAGAGGGAGTAAGACATCCCAGTCATCTTGGCGGCTATTACAAAACTTTGACAATTCCTGTCAAATTGTACTTTTCTACCATCCCATCAGACTGTGGGTGAAGTGGCGTTGTCTTGGTCTTTCGTATGCCAAACAACTTGCAGCATTCATGGAACACAGCTGATTCAAAGTTACGGTCTTGATCTGAATGCAGTTCATATGGCATACCAAATCTGAAGAAGAAATCACTAATAGCTGAAGCTACATGATTTGGTATTGCATATGCCTCTGGCCACTTGGTGAAATAATCCATCACCACACAAATGTACCTGTTTCCAGCACGAGTTTGGGGCAAAGGACCAGCAATGTCAACAGCTACTCTTTCCATTGGTGCACCAACTTGATATAACTTCATTGGAGCACATCCCTTATGCTTGGGTCCCCTTTAAGCACAACATGTACTGCAGGTCCTGCACCATTCTTCCACACCTTGCCTCATGCCTATCCAGTAAAATCTCTGTCGTAGGTGACTCAATGTCTTTTTAACTCCAAGATGTCCTCCTGTTAAACTATCATGGGTTTAACGCAGCACAACTTCCCGTAACTTTCTCGGTATAACTGTTTACCAGGTTGTCACTTTCCCATCTCCGGACACGAATATCATCTTTGTCACAGGGCTTAAGCTAGACACCTTCTCCCAAGCAGGGCACAAAACACTTGCTTTTAGAAAATCAATTATTGGCTTCAAATCTTGGTCTTTCTCCTGTTCTGCTTTAATATCTATACCTGGTTCCACTTCATCATAATCAACTCCTTCAGGCACTTTGACTTCAGCTTGATGGCACCTGGTTACTTCAACCTCTCTTTTAACACTTACCGGAATTTGGCCTTTGTTATTCCCAAACGTCATTTCGTCGAAGTTAACTACACACTTCCTCGGTAGTAAGTAGTCCAACCCTAATATGCATGGGTCTTCAATGTCATCCAAGTATACTTTCTGTCTGTCCTTTATGCACATGAGCTCAATAGT